TATAGCTATAAATCAGTCCTACTTTGAGAAGAGTATTGTGTGGGTTAAAGCAGGCAAAAGGATAGAAATGTATTAAGATTAATATTACTTTACTAGCAGCACATGAGGAACACATACATGAATTTATGATTGATATAGGAATGCTTAAATACATTGAGATAAAGATTAAACAATTATGTATTGTTTTAGAAAGGTTTTCAGCTGATGATTACAACAGAATATTGCGAAGTGTTTTAAGGAATTTTTTATATTAGATTTAATGATGTAACACTGACCCATTCTGGGCCCAAGGGTCAGTGGAGTGAAAGAGCTCATAATTAGGGCTGACCTGACCAAACAAGCCAGGGCCGCCACCCAAGATGAGATGCACAGTGTGAAAAGCACCTGTACTGATTGCGCAGCAAGCCTCCATTCACATCCAGATTATTGCCACTGCCATCCTAGGGATGACTGTTATCAGCCAGAGTGCTCCATAAAAAGACTAGCCTTCTGCCTGCAGCTTTCCCTACAGAAAAGGGAGTAAGCCTGAAAAACACATTTCTGGGAGTTAAGGTAGCAGGAGTCTGAGAGAGGTTGGGTGACAGCAAGGATCCTAAGAAACAAACCTGCTCACCTTGCTTCTATTGGTTCTTAAAGATATACAGCACTAAGTTGTGCCTAATAGGTAGCAGGAGAAAATGGAGCATTCATTGAAATTATAAAAATCAAAAGGAATGAGCAAGTGTTTGTGCAACTGAAGGAGCACCTCCCTCCTCCTCCTCCCTCTCTCTCTTTCTCAGGTCATCCTAATCCATGGGGTTATTGTTTAGAAAATTACTGTTACCCCCTACCTTCTTTGTAGGAGATGCTGCAGGCAGATGGACAGAGCCCATTCATGGAGCACTCTGGTTGACATCCCAAGCAGTCAGCCCTAGAATGGCAGCAGCAGGGTCACAATCTGGACATAGATAGAGGCTCATTGCGGTGCTTAGTCCGGATGCTCACCAGGCTGTGATTCCCATCCTGGAAAGCGGGAAGGCACCTACTGGGGTAAGTAGTCCTAGTTATGAGCTCCACAAACCCACTGCATCTTGGGTCTGGAATGGGACATGTTTCTTCTGGTGACAGGAAGTGTCTTCTCTCCTTCCTACTTGGTCTGATTGTTCCTCAGCAATGATTCCCCTCATTACAAATTGTCCTTTTCCCATACATCCCGTCAGCCGGCACATGAAGGGTTTCTTCTGGTGGGGTGCCAATTTGTCCCTATGTCCAATTGGCTGTGGTGACTTGTTCTGTGCTGATCCAGCTCTGCCCACTTGTCTGCACCTACCATTCATGCCCACTTGTCTGCACCTACCATTTGTGCTGAGTTATCCATGCAGAGTCATCTGCACTGATCCAGCCACACACTCTCTGTGCAGACCCAGCACACAGCTCACCTGGCCACATTCACCCAGCAATAGTAAGTTGTCCCAGATCCTATGGAAAGGAAAAGCACTGGTTAATGAAGCTACAATTTTTCCTATTGAACATTATGATAGAGATGAATCTTATGTTACATTATAAATCGAGATAAAAGAATGTCGGTTTACTTGATGCAGAACTTGATCTTTGTTGACTGTGTATCCTAGAAAAGTTAATTTTGAATTGCAAGGATTGGAAAGGATAATTGAAATAGGGAAAAATGAACTTGATGTTGATGAAACCTATGAATAAAGCATGCATTTCTTTTACGTGACAAGTCCGTACACAGAGACACACCAATCACTATAAATCTTAGGTCTAAACTGCTCTTTATCATTAAACCTTTCTGTTAACTTTACTATTTACATTTACATTTTCAATAAACCTCCTTTTAAATTACCTCCTCTTGTTTACAGATATTCCTGAATCATTTTGGGGTTGCTCCTATACTGATATTGTATTTTTAAAACCTGCTGAATCCTACCTCAGAGATCCAAAGATTTAACTCTCTGGTGTCACGAAATGGGTTCACCAAGCTTCACCAGCTAAGCTGCAGTCCAGTTTATTTAAATCATTTACTTGGATTATTTTATATACCTGAACACAAAAGAACTTTTCACTGCAAGTGTGGGTGCTATTTTTCAGTTGCTTCTATCTTCTATCAAACTATAGGTTACACTCTTACAAGGAACTCTAGATATTTGTAAGCTTTGGATAACAACATTTGCCAGGCCTGATTAAATATTTTATGACTCTGACTAATAAAAAGCAACCTATATTCCACTCTTGGTTCAAAAGGGTGCCTGAGACTTTTGGCTATTACTATTTTGTCTGTTCTAACATCAGTAATTATTCTTTTAAATTAATCTTTTGTTTTCCTCATGAATAAATTTTGTTCCACTCTTCAAATGTTAAGCTTTAGCCATTTATTAATTAGAGATTCTAGCTACTCCAAATGTAACACTGAAGCACTGTACAACTATGAATCTTCAACTCTGTTTTTTGATATTACAGAAGTTGTCAAAATAACTGTTTGCAGACCATAAATCTGGTATAGAAACCTTGCACAAATCTAATAAGCCTCTACAAAATCCTGATTTTTGCTGAACAGGCTGCTAAATAAGCTGCTCAATTATCTTTCAGTCTTTGTACCAGTATTTCAGGTTCCCTCTGCTATTGCCTATGAGAATTTTCTTATTAATGTTGGGAGAACAACTTGCAGTGTTACTACAATGCTTCTTGGAATGGCTTCTTCTGGGTGGTTTCTAATTGACAACCTCTTGTGCCTAATGTGTTTTTCTTTGTCAGCAACTCCATGTGAATCATGTTACTAAAATTATTATAGATTGGCTTATTCCTATAAATGTGAAAATGTTCAGGAACTTCTTCTAGGCCAAGAATGCACAAAAGGGGTTGTCACTGCCACTTCAGTTCAGTGCATCCATAGTTGAGAGGAATGAACTAATTATCAGATAGTTTTTATCCTTTCAGAAGCAGAACACAGTGAAAGCTCTACAGTTCCTGTCAGTAACTAAAGCCTTTCTTTCCAGCAGCAAAAATGTGTGCTACTTAAAAGTTCTAGCACAAGACTCTTGATCCAACCTAAAATATCTTTCCAGATTTTTGCTGATTAAGCAAATGGAAAGGGTCCTTGATTCTTCATAGACAAAGATTGTTAGACTCCTGGAATGTGCCTAATGAACTTCTAAAAAAAAATCTGATTGAAACTACACAGGATCTGTGGGTTGTGGAACTGATTACTTTTAAGAAACCATGACTTCTGTTGGACTTTTGCTTCTGTTGCAAAATTTTCAAGAAATGTTACTTGGCATTATTATCACATTGTACTCATTGTTGGACTTCAATGTTATCTTATGCAATTGTTTATTTGTATTTGCCTGCAACAACTTTTTAGTTACTGCTCCACAACCCACAGATCCTGTGTAGTTTCAAATGTAACTACACACTTTCTAAATATAATAGTGGTTCAGCAAACTATAAATAATTTTAGAACCAAATGAGGGAATTGTTATCTGGAAGTCTAGGCTTCATTAGTAGCATTTTAAAAGATGATATTAGCAGTTTTAACATGACAGTTTTAGGTCTTTATTTTTAACTCCAGGAAATCATGTTTTTTTCTTCTTCGTCAAGACCATTTCTTTTGGTAAGTGAAAACTTACTGTTTCAGCACTAAACAATAGAGAATGTCCTTGAATATGTTTTCAAGTTTTAAAATACAAACCCAGCTGGGAAAGAGTAATGTAATCTTTAAATTTGACACTCTTGGGGAACACTACCTAGAATTAATATTTTCTATTGTTCAAGTATAACATGTAATCAATGTCTTTTATTGTTTGATCACTTTTTTTCTGATGTATCACATATATCAAATGTACACGTCATTTATTTGTGTACTCTATAAAAAGATATGTCTTAATAAATGCTTTTTGCTTTGCCTGAATGATGATTGTTGCAGCTTATATTTTTAGTTGGACAAAGAAACCCTTCGTTAAGGGTAAAAGTTTTCTCTCAAATTCAGGGTCCAAATTCTTATTAGCTATATTCCAAACTCAAAGTTTGTAGACAACATGCATAATAAGAATCTTACAAACAGGTTTTGGGACAACAATTGAATCAATGTCACCTGTGGATATTTGCATGCTTAATCTTAATGATCCAACAATTGGTAATCCATAATCAATTTAAATTATTTTAAAAACATTTATTATAAGGCAAGAACAGAGCATGTTATAGTTGTCTGATGGTTATATTTTTCTAGCCCTTGAACCATCGAAATGGTTCAATTTTTCCCCTCCCTGGGAAAAATTTCTATAGGCATCTGCAATGTTTGCTTCAAAAGGTGTCTGCGGATGGTCCTCATTTTCTTAAAAACAAGAGATAATGAGTTACTAAGGAATTGAAGGTCTAGTGGCTGTTAGCATGTCATACAATGCCTGTACAGTACAGTAGTATTTATTGATCTATTCCAAAGTATTGCGTTTGGAAACTAATAATTAAAAATACTGGCAGAGTGGGCAACACTTACAAAGAAAATTGAAGTTACAGAAATAGTGTTTTGTTCTCCTATCTTCGCGATTTCAATCAGATTTTTGGACAGGCTATGCTTTAATCGGCGTAAGCGGGGCTGTTTGGTTTACCGTCTCATTTTCAGGAGAGCTCTAATTAGATGGTATGGGCCTTATTGGTTTTTTGAAACCGGGTGCCTTATTCCGTTTTAAACCAGTTTAATTATTGCTGGGAACACAGAGATAAATGGGCAAAACGAGTTTGAGCATACAAGATGTAAATAGGTGCGCCCAGCTCTGGCGGTTCCTCTGGAAAAAAGGAATCTTTCCAATTAAGGGGCGAATTAACTATTTCCTTTTTTTCTTGTTCACTTATGGCAACGGACGTAATCGGGAACAATTAACGATTGGCTGGACGTGGGGAGGGGCGCATGGCAAGTGTCTATGGAGGGGCCGCCCTCGCGCCCCGTTTAGGAGATAAAGCCGAGCCAGCGAAGGCGGATGACGCTGGTTGTACGGCGGCGGATCCGGAAGAGGCGGGCTCGCCAGGTTGGATGGACGAGGGTGCCGGGGCCTGTCTGGATGATTGTCTGACTGCGGAACGAGCGATGTGGGGGGTGAGCAGGGGCGAGAGGGGCGGGAAACCTCTGGCCCGTCTGGGAAGGGAGGGGACGAAGGCGGTCAGAGAGCCACAGGTTACGAGGAGCCATGGAAGTAGGGCGGCGGTAGTAGGCCCGGTCCCAGGTTGTGGCGCAGCGAGCCTGAACCGGGTCAAATGAGGTTGATCGTGCCGTCGGGCAGAGCGGTGGGGTGTCGTTTCGGGATCCTCTGAACCGGCGGAGGGGGGGGGAGAGAGGGAGGGGAGCTTAAGAACCGCCTGGCTTTCTCGCGGCCGCCTCTCCTGCTCTTTCATTGTAAGGCCCCTCACGAAGGCCGGCGGCGCAATATGACGGCGTCGTCGTCGTCGTCGTCTTTTGCCGGCAGCCTGCAATTAGCCCCGCATCACCTTCGGCCCGTTTTTCTAGTGCATTAACAAAGCTCCAAGAGTCACTCAGCAGCACGGCCTCTTTCCTTTTTCTTCCTCTGGGCCCTGACCTCCACCCTTTTTTCCCCCTTGCGCGCCGAATGCCGCCGTCGCGTTCCTCCTTTGTGCAGCGTTTTTTTCACTTCCACCTCGCTGTGCTCTTGCTTGGTTACTCCTCACCCGTAAAGCTTTCCCCAGCTTCCCAGTTGCCGTTGGCCTGATGTGTTCCGCCTTCGAATGTGCGTCTGCCCTGCCCCTCCCGCAAACCTCACGCGGTGGCCCTTTCGTGGGGGTGGGGTGCCTTGCCTCTCCCGTGTTCGGCAGGCCAGATATGGTTGTTCAAGTGGGTATCTGCGTTGTTCAAGTGGGCAAAAAACTGAAGTTTGCTGCCAGTTGAGTTTATAGATATTTACACTGCTTTAGGTTTTTTCATCCCTTTAGGATTAAAAATAGTGGAGGACCAAGAATGTTTGTTTTTGTCTGCAAAGTAGGCAGACGCTTTATCTGCACCAAATTCCTATTCCATTAGTGAAGCACTTTTAACAAGCTCTTCATCCCTTCATTGTACCTGTTCAACTTTTTAACTATTGACATACATATTGTCTTCTTTAAGTTTTCTATTTCACTCTTGGCCACCGTAAGTTTTTTTTCCCCTTGAGTTGTTTCACTATCTAGTGACAAATAGCATTTTTAGAGAAAAGCATGACAGTTCTAGCTTTTAATTAAATTATAAGCAACAAAAGCCTTTTTTAAGCAAATTGTTGTGAAAGCCTGTCTTTTGAAATGCAGTTGAATTTCATCATATGGAAATTATTGTTGGTACTCTATTTGTCTAGGTAGCATAGAAAAGTAGCACAGTAAATTAATTATTTAAAAATGTCATTTTAGTTATTATGTTATGTGAAACCTATAATCATTTCCTACAGCTCTTGGAATCTGAGTGTGGATTGAGAAAACAATTTTCTTACAAAAATATGTGCATCATAGAATGTATTTAAAAACTTGAGATTTGCAAGTATAGAAATAAAATAAGCCATTGTAGTTTGTTGAATGGTTCTTAGATAAGGGAACTGAGGAAACAGGATTCAGAGCCTTATTTATCCATGATTAGTTGCTGTCTCTAAAGCTAATTCTATTGCCCCGGGTTTAAGTTTCAAAGATATGACAATTATAATCTATATTAGTCTAAAATATGTTAATATATCAAGATATATTAAGTGGAGAAGTATCAAAAGGCATTACTTAAAAGCTTGTTTCCACTTCTAAACACTAGAATGACTTGGTGCCCAATAAGTAGACGTACTTAAACATATAATTTATTATGGCAAGACTATTGGGCTTCTATATTGATTTTGCTGTAAGTTATGTACTTTGGAAAAATCAGGATTCTCCAATAAGAGAGAGAATTTATAAAAGTGCATCTATGGTAAAGCAGAAGTTGTCGAACTTTGTGCTACTGTGATTAATATGTGCAGACTTTTAACCCATGGATAAAATGAATTTTACTGAACGTTTGGCAACGAAGATGTTTATATAGTTAAATTTTTATGTATATATTACAATATTTACACTTGGGTGATCTTATGTTGAAAGCAGGAGCTGAATCCCAGAGTGAATTTTCCCATTGTTTAAACTTTGGTGTCCAATCCTGAGCAAGGTGGTTTTTAAAAAAATTCCTATTCCCACAAAGTTGCTTTCAACCCTAGGATGTGAGTTGCCTTGAATCCACAGCTTGTGAATCTGTTATTAAGAATTTGTTATTTTGGAGCACATCTGTGACAGTACTTTCAACACCAAACAAATTAACCTAATTGTAAACTTGAGTATTATACCAAGTCTTAATTAATAAAAGCTAAGCCATCTATTTATGAAAAGGAATATTGTTGTTATATATAAAAACATAACCCTTGAAGTTCATTGTAAGTGAAACTTTTTTAAATCAAAGTTTTCTAAGGGATGTGTTGGTAGTATTGTTTATTTTTAACATGAGATTAATGATAAGACTAATTAAAAATATTATATACTATTAAAACTCTTGGGTCTGTTTCATTGTTTCTCTATGTCAAAGAATGCTGGCTTCCTTAGGGTACTCACAAGAGATGAGATGGAGACATGCCCCTGTCTTGACATTGTTTCCCTGAAAATAGTAAACTCGGAAATAGTTTGAGCTGCTATGACTATTATTTCTTGGTAGTTATGTCCTCCATAAATGTATCTAAACTTCCTTTAAATTATCAGAATTACTGATATTGTCATATTTGTGGATTAATTATGCCTCTGTGAGTGGCTTTTCTAAATTTTGTTGTCTTTTCTAAAATGTTCTGGATTTTTTTTAGTTAAGCTTCTTTAAAAGTTCACTATTCTTAATGTTATAACAGAATAAAGCATTTCTTTTCAACTACTTTTTTTAATAACCCAAGTAGCCTCAAACCTTCAAGACTTTTTAAAAAATAAGATATTTCAACCTAATCATTTTAGTTGCCTGCTTCTGCTTTTTTCTAGCTCTATAATGTATTTTTCTTTAATTGGCAATCAGATGAAGATGTACCATAGATCAGAATAAAGACAATACCATATTGGAAGTTTTATTTTTAGTTGTATTATTAATGAACCCAAGATTGGAATTTGCTATTTTCATAATTGCTGGACAGTGAGTTAATTTCTTCACTTATCTGTCCATTCTAATTTTAGAACTCTTTTATGCTTTTTTTTAGAGAGTTGATATCAATGCATATATGAAGATAGCAGAGAGAGAGACATTTTTGCCCTGTTTTCTAATAGATTGAATATTCCCACATTTCACAAATACTCTTTTGAAACACTCACATTAGTTTTGTCCTTTATCACCTTGAGTAGTTAGCAAAATTTACGAATTTAGCTGACCAATTGCCTTATTGATTTCAAGACAGAACTTTAAGAAACCATACTATTTACTCTTATCTATTTAGGAGATTGCCATTGCATTATGATCTTAACATTTTCATTTTTAATTAATTAACAATCTAAAAAGCCAAGTCACCTTCTTCTATAGATTTACTGAGAATCTTTTGGTGAGACATTTTATCAAGGGCCATTTGAAAATCCAGGTTATACAATAGCACTTTGGCTTATATACCACTTCATAGTGCTTTACAGGACTCTCTAAGCAGTTCACAGAGTCTTCATATTGCCTCCCACATTCTGGGCCCTCATTTTACTGACCTCAGAATGATGGAAGGCTGTCAATCTTAATAGATTGAACTCTTGGCAGTGGGCACAGTTAGCCTGCAATAATACACTGTAACTACTGTGCCACCACGATTCAATGGTTACTGTGGCTACTATGCCACCATGATTCAATGATTACTCATATGCTACTCAAAAATTGCTCAGTGCCACTTTTACTCATATGCCCGCTAATACCTCATTTTTTAGAATTTAGAAATCTTACTGCTGTTAATATTCCCATATCATCTTGTCCTTTTTTAAAAACTGTTGTCACATTGGCCATCTTACAAATACTCTGATATAAAGCCTTATTTAAAAACAAAGCTAAGTATGTATTTGTATGCAGTGTTATTGTTAGGAAGTTTGTAATTTCATATTTATTTTAGAAATCCTCGGTGGATGCCAAAAGTGCTGATGATTTATTATTAATTGTAATAAACTAGTAATAAAATACCGGATCCTGCAGTGCTTCACATTTGAAGGAAAAAGAATATTTGGATAGACAGAGTTATATGTAGCTTCTATCAGTAGCTCCTGAAATCAAACTTATCTTTTCCTAGGATTGTATTGTAGTTGCATAGGAAGTTAGCAAATTCAGAGAAAAGATGAGGCTGTCTTTAAAAGTTGGCAGTATATCCTTGTGCTCTGATATGGCTGCTCAGTAATTCCAAAGGAGAATGTACACTTAAGGGAGAAATACAAAGTATTTAGTTTCTGTATTGTCTATGCTTGAGCATCCTTTTCACTATTTTTTTATTGCCCAAACCTTCAGTGGCAAATTTTCTGCAATAAGTCTTCATTGAAGAGATATAAACCTGTAATTGTTACTAGCACAATAATGATTGGCTGATATTGGTTAAGTATTATAAGTTGGTACTAGGGAAATTGTTCCTCTGAATCTAATATTAATTATAATTTACATTGGTTGTATTATATTGTCTGCTTTTTCTCCTGAATTTTTCCTTAGAATTGACTTCTAATTTTCCATGTTGCTGAACACGAATTATAGTGACCTCTTAGCTTGATTTATTCATAAATTGTGGAATATATTCCACTTGAACCATTAGTTAAATATGGCTCTGTTCTGTTTGCAAATACTTACGAGCAGTGTAATAGCATTATGATAATAGATTTCAGTGATTTACAGCATGAACTGGATTTATGATTTCTGGTTTTTTTATTTTACAAGAAGCAAAATTTCTTAAGATTGGTTTCATTTCAAATGAATTCATACACAAGAATAAGCCATGGCCAGTTTGGATACCTTAAATTCAATGTTTTTTAAGCTTTTCAGCTCGGGTCTAATCTGTTCTACTAAACCTTGCTTTATCTTTTGATGTTACTCTGTTAATATGTGATATGTTATGTGTTTGGTATTCTCTGATA